CACACCCCCCACCCCCAGCCCTGGAGCCAGGGCCCCGTCAGCTCCCGCGCGGTCTGCTCCCGGGCCCACGAACTGGTCCCTGCCGGAGCCCGTGGGGCCGCTGTGCCGGGGAGGGGAAGGGAGTGGAGGGGAGGGAGGACTGGTAGAAGGTGGCTGCTTAGGGGACCTGAGGGCAGGACGGCGCGAGGTGGCGCAGGGCTCAGGCCTGTCTGCCCCGTGAGGTGTCCCTGTTCCCGCCCCTGCAACCCCTGTGGCCCTCGTTTGCCACAGCCCGACTGGCCCTGGCACATCCCTGAAATGCATCCTTCTGTGCAGAGCAAGGCTTGTGAAGAGATACTGGGGAACACGTCAGGCCTCTGGAAATTCACCCCTTCCGCGGACCCCTGAGCCCACCTAATCACCCCGTCAGGTCCTGGGGAATGGAAAGGAGGCTCCCTTTTCAGGCTTGGGGCTGCCACCTGGGAGTGGTGTCAACCAAGGGGCTGGTCCCGAAGAGGCAGAAACCAGGGAGAAAGACAGGGAGAAGAGCTGAGGAGGCCATTTAGAGTCAAGCAGGGTCAACCCTCCTTTCTTGAGACTAATGTGCAATCAGAGGTCCTCGCCTGGAGGCTTGGAGCCCCCATGCCTGCCCTGAGCTGAGGCAGGACCCCTCTTCAGTTACCACCACTCCCTTCCCTATTCTCCTTTTTGGAGAGAAGGTAAAGAGGAACTGATACTGTATTAGTGAAAGTTGTAGACCGTGTAACTCACTAACTCATTTTTACTGTGCAGGCCAACTGGATTTTAATTTAAAAAAAAAAAAATGGGGATTTTAATTTAAAAAAAAAAAACACCTTTTAGTTTTTCTGGGTGGGTGGGTGTGTGTTCTCTCTCTTCTAATTTCTTTGGTGATTTTTCAAAAGCCGACTTCTTGAGAGATGTAGCAAATGATTTAAGAATCAAATAACAAGATAAACGACTCATTTATGGTAAAGAGCACTAGCCTACCGTAATCTGGTTTCAGAATTTCCCGAGACTGCTGACTGCTCAGGTAATGGGTATTTATGCATGGCAAAAATGTTCAACAGAATTGCAGAGTTGGCAGGGAGGGTCCGAAATTTTGTTTCCACTTGAGGATGCTTTCTAGATGCATGCTTTCCAAGCTATGAAAGGAATCTATGGTGGAGACCAAGGCCATGGGGAGTCCTATTGGAGCCTGAGGCAAAAGGAAAAATGTGAGCCCCTATATACATTTATCAAAATCCTCCCATGGGGCGCCTGCGTGGCTCAGTCGTTAAGCGTCTGCCTTCAGCTCAGGTCATGATCCCAGGGTCCTGGGATTAAGCCCCGCATCGGGCTCCCCGCTCCGCGGTAAGCCTGCTTCTCCCTCTCCCACTCCCCCTGCTTGTGTTCCCTCTCTCGCTGTGTCTCTCACTGTCGGATAAATAAAATCTTTAAAAAAAAAAAAAATATCCTCCCATATTTTGAACTGAGTGGAAAGATCAATAAAAGCTCTACAATCACAAAGTTGCCCAATTTGTCCACACCACAATGTCAACCCTCATAAGCCCAGGAGGCAGGGGACAGCCCAGCTAGCTACCAGGGAACTTTGGTCTGGTTAGAAACAACTGTTTCCATTGCGCGATAGTGCAGGATGGTAAAACAAACAAGCACCACCCATCTGTATCTAAACTTTTGATATTTTGTTCATCATGGATCTTTTGCATTTATTTTTTAAAATAACTTTTAAAGACATGGTTTATCTTGATTAATGAGTTTTTTGGCACAAAGCTACTCCTTGCTCATATTGAGATCTTAGCTACCTGACATCCCATTTCCAGTTTAGTGCCCTTTAGAGGCTGCCAGCCCAGGCAGGGGCCTTGCTCGGGTTCCCCCAATGTAGCCCTGGCCTAGTCCTCTCCCCCCAACCCAACTAGCCACTTCTGGAATGGTTCCTGGCAGCCCAGTCTCTGCTGCAGGACTGGACACCCCAGCTCAATGACCCTGCAACTTTTTAACAAACATCCGGCATCTGCTCCAGCATCAGTTGTAACCAGGAGTTTTCTATCGCAACCCAAACTCTTCCAACTAGTTGAGAATTTAGTGGGAAAGAGGATGATGTCAGTAATAGCCCCAAGAAGTTGGACACACAACAGAGTTGTCCCACATAAACCCCTGTCCAGAACAACAGGGTCACTGCCAATGCTCATTCACAGCCACATGCCCCAAGACCCCTGCAGGAAAGGGAGGCAGCCACTGCGGCTGGAGAGCTCCCCGTATCTTCCTCCATCATCTGCCTGCAGGAAGACTCAAGTTCAAGCCCGCTCTTATCCAACCGGTTGCCAAGTTGGATGGTCATTGTCTTTCTTGATTTCAAATAGTTAGAATTTACTTGGGGATCAAAGGCTAAAAGTGACTTCACAAGTAAAACTAAAAGCAGGTGCCTTCCAGGAGGGCAAACCCTTCTTCGTCCAAACTGCACTCTAGACCAGACACTTCTCACTCTGCAGTCTGCACCTTCCCCTTGGGTCCCGCTCTGTTCATGGTCACATCATTTACTGAGTCAATAACCCCTACCCTAATCCCCCAACACCAATCCATCACTAAGTCTGGATAGCTAGTCCCTACCACGGATCTCAAATCTGTCCCTTCTCTCCATCACTACGGCACCTTCCTGGTCCCAGCCATCATCTATCTCCTCTCTCGTAGATCTCTGCAGAAGCCTCCTACAATGGTCCCCTGCCTCCCAATCAGCAGCTCACATTTTCAACGTGCAAAATGGATCATGCCCCCTGCAGAAAATACCCCAGAACAGACCTCAAAGTTCTTAACCTGAGCTTCATGATCCTGTGGGACTAGCTCTCCCTATCACCCTCTCTAAGCACCCCCACCTCTACCCAGCTCATCCTGGCCTTTGAACATTTCCAGTCTTCCCAGAGCAAATTTCTACTCTTTCCTCGATCGTTCTGCCAGGAGGACAGCCAGGAGGCAGAGCAGAGCGCATTTGGAGAGATGTGCTCAGCCCTGTGAGCATCCCCTCCAGCATGTAGACATACTGACTGACCCCCAGGCTTCAGGCCCCCCTTGGAGAGAAGCACTCAAGCCCCCCAGGCCAGCTACTCACTCAAGTGATAAGAAGACAGTTGTTTTCTCCTTGAACAGAAACTGTTCTTGGGCGCTTTCCAAGACCCCTTCTGGGGCCCCAGAGGAGCCTCACGGGACAGTGTCTCCTAAATTGCTATTTTGCTCCCATATACGTTAGAATCCATGTTTCTCAAATGACATTTTTAAATCTCAGCCATTTCGGAAGAAAGTAGCATGAAAACCCACGTCTGAGGGATTTCTGAATGGCACCTAATGTACAACTTTTGGAATTAGGATGACAGAGGACAGGAAAAGAGGTAAGAAGGGAAAAAAAATAGCGTTAGAGAAAAGGAGGTACAGTTTATTTGAATTTATACTAAAAATATCAGGGGCACCTGGGGGGCTCAGTCAGTTAAGCATCCGACTCTTGATCTCAGCCTAGCTCTTGATCTCCGGGTTTTGAGTTTGGGCCCTGCATTGGGCTCCATGCTGGGCGTGGAGCCTACTTAAAAAAGAAAATACTAAAATCATCAAAACCACAATGAAATACCACTTTCCATCCATCAGGATGGCTATAATTAAAAAAAGGAGAGGGGCACCTGGGTGGCTCAGTCGGTTAAGCATCTGCCTTCAGCTCAAGTCATGATCTGGGTAGTCCTGGGATCAAGCCCCACATCCAGCCCTGCATCCAGCCCTGCATCCAGCCCTGCATTCGGCTCCCCTGCTCAGCAGGGAGTCTGCTTCTCTCTCTGTCCCTCCCCCTGCTCCTCTCTCTAATAAATACATTTTTTAAAGGGGAAGAAAGAAAGAACATAACAAGTATTGGCGAGAATGTGGAGAAGTTAGAACCCTTGCACACCACTGACGGGGACATATGATGGTACAGCTCCTTGGAAAACAGGTGGGCAGTTTCCCAAAAGGTTAAACATAGAACAGCGATGGGACCCAGCAATCCCACGTTTGGGTATATACCCGAAAGAATGGAAAGCAGGAGCCCCAGGGGGTCCTTGAACACTCATGTTTATAGCAGTGATAATGCACAATAACCATAGGGCTGGAGGCCACACAGGTACCCATCAACAGATGACTGGATAAACAATGGCATATTCCTCAGCCTTAAAAGGGAAGGACACTCTGACGCGTGCTACAGCATGATTGAATCTCGAGGACATCATGCTAAGTGAACTAAGCCAGTCGCAAAAGGACAAATAGCATAATTCCACTGATAGGAGGGACGTAGAGGAATCACATTCATAGAGACAGCAAGTAGGAGGGTGGTTGCCACAGGCTGGGGGGAGGAAAGAGCAGGGAGTTTGTGTTGAATGGGTACAGGAGTTTCAGCTTCAGGAGATGGATGGTGGTGAAGGCGGAGCAACAGTGTGAATACACCTAATGCCACTGAGCCACACGATGTGAGTGGTTAAAATGGTAAGCTTTGTGTTATGTATATT